ACGCTGCCCGTAGGCTCAGCATGTGCAGGACTCCTCTGCCAGAGGAGTGGGGACAGCCTCTGCTTAGGGCAGCAGAGTGCCGCGTCCTCATTTTGCAGGTGTGGGAAGCAAGGGACGCGAATTAAGCTGGACATAATTGAACAGGAGCAACATTTTAGGTGTGAAGTGAGTGATAATGCTTCAGTGCTTAAAGGCAGTGCAAGGCCTTTGACAGCAATTAGTAGTGAGCAGCAGTTTTAGCAAAAGCAAAATCTGGAAAATTAGTTGTCTGTCAATATGTGAAGAGTCACGTAAGCTGAGATTTCATGCAGTGGAAATCCAGGCTCTTCTTCTACAAAATGATGCTGTTACTCTTAACCGTGGCAAAAACTTAGCTGGGTGTGGCGAAATCTTCCCGTAACCTTGTAAATTGGGAAGGCTGAGGCAGAATGACTGCAAATTCAAGCTAGCCACAGAAATTGAAGCAACATAAGAGACCCCGTCTCAAAACAAAATTTAACTAAAAGAGCTAGCAATGTGGCTCAGTGTGAAGGCTCTGGGTTCAACTGCCAGTACAAGTCAGGAAAAAGAGAAAAAGAAAGAAAGAAAAAGAAAGGAAAACATTGTTTCTGCCTGTTAAGGGGAGAAAAGTTCTACCACAGAACACATAGTGTGATCTTCCCTTTGCTTAACAAATACATGCATCTCATGCATTTATCTTCATGTGATTATTAATCAATATATTTTGTTCATTTTATACTAACAGAGTCCTTAATCTTTTCTTTTTCTTCAATTTAAAAGTTTCTCAGATTTTATTATACCTTCTCTGCATCATCATTTTTTATTATGATAAAAATCCATGTAAGCAAATTTTGGGGGAGCCAAATAGCTCAGCAGATTAAAGTGCCTACAAACAGACTCAGGGGCCAGAGGATCAATTCCCAGGCCTGTGGTGCCGGCCCTGCCCCTGGGGCATGCTGAGATGGCAGTGGAGACTGGGCATGGTGGCACAGCTACCTGTAATCCCAGCTCTTGGGAGGCTGTAAACAGGCAGATCACTATGAGTCTGATCTAGTAGTGAGACCCTGAACAACCTGTAGACCTTCCCTAAAATACAAAAAGAAGAAAAAGAAAATTTCCCGGATTAACAATTTTTCAGTAGACTGTTTACCAGCGTTACCTACATGCACCTCTTGGGTGTTAGAACTCTACAACTCTTTCATCTTTGTCTTTTTTGGTACCAGAGATTGAACTCAGGACCTTGTGCTTGCCAGGCAGCACAAGGCACCATGCCACTGAGCTATCTCCTCAGCCCAGCTCTTTCCTCTTTACAGTGGAAACTTAGCTGGGTGTGGCGAAATCTTCCTGTAACCTTGTAAATTGGGAAGGCTCAGGCAGAATGACTGCAAATTCAAGCTAGTCACGGAAATTTAAGCAACGTAGGAGACCCCGTCTCAAAACAAAAGTTAACTAAAAGAGCTAGCAATGTGGCTCAGTGTGAGGCTCTGGGTTCAACTGCCAGTACAAGTCAAGAAAAAGAGAAAAAGAAAGAAAGAAAAAGAAAGGAAGGATGGACGGGCTACAAAGGAAACAACAAACTAAATTAAAAGGCCAAAATTGTGTCCACTGAACATCAACTCTCCATTTCTCCCCTAGATGCAAATCCTACTAAATAGAATTCTGCTTTCTATTCCTAAGGGTTGGTTACTGTAGTCACTTCTCTGAGTGGAATCATGCATCGTGCAATATTTGTCATTTTGGACTAGTCTGTTTCATTTATTTTAATCCCGATATTTTAAATGATATAATTTCCTTCTTTTAAGGCTGAATAATATTCCATTGTTTGTACTACTTTCCATTTACCTATTCACCCACACTTACATATTTAGGTTACGAACATTTTGCTATTGTGAATAATACTTCAGTGAATGGGTTTATACCTACCTCATCAAAATCCTGTTTATAACTCCCCTGGAAATGTTGTAAGAAGGAACTTCTGGCTCATCTATCAATCCTATTCTTAAATTTTTTGAGGAAATGTCACAGTGTTCCCGGTGGCTGCCACACCATTCAACCCCACCATCTACAATCTGTAAACTTTCCATTTTTTTCCATATCCCCCCCACCCCACAGCACTTGCTGCTTCCTGGCTTTTGAATAGTGTGAAGTGACCAATTGTTAATTGAGCACCTATTTTGCATCAGGCAGTATTCTTAGAGTTGTTGATGCAGTAATGGACAAAGATGACCCAAACAAGAAGGATGTTAATTTTAGTTTTCATGTGTGCAGTACGTAATGACTCCATTCATCGAGAGAAGCTGGTGTGTTATAAAGACGTTCTCACTGCTGTTCTGCCCCCTCCTCGCCTTTCCCACTCCCTTACCTCCATCTCTTGGTCCTCTTTCATTCTGTAAAAGATCCAGATATCTCACTTTCTAATATATATCTTTTGTTTTTCTCTTTCATTTATTTAAACTTTGGATTCTCATATAAGCAAACCCATGTGAATAGCTTGAAAGGTTATTTTTTTATATTTTTTATATACCATAAGGATGAAGTCTATCTCAACGTGCAGTTGTACTTCCCTCTGCATCATATAAAAAAATCAGAGAGCAACCATGGTATGACATATGCTGTAGTATGGGTCTAGCTCCATGAAATTTGGACTGGAAAATTTAAAATGCTCAATCAAAAGGAAAATCCAAACCTCCAAAAGATAACCCAGTCCTAGACACTAAACAACCAAACAAATACATTTCAGGGTCCAATATACCGAACAAACATTGCAGAATCTGGGCTGTAAGGTCAGGTTCTGTCATCTTTCTTGGTGTCATCACAAAGCCTTTACAATATATAAACCACAGATCAAAGGCAACAAGAAACCATTAAATGAATTGAATACCGGGCACCAACAAAGGGTGTCATGCTGTGTTAAGGTGTGAAGGGAAAGGGTGGGGCACCCCATAGCCCTTTTCAGGGGGTAGGAAGGGCAGGCAGGTACATGAAAAGTTCAAACAGTATTCAGAAAGGCACAGAAACAGCCTACATGGCCAAGACAAATGGGCAGAGAAGCTAACCTAAACTCATGGAAAAGGAGAATGATTTCATGGAATAAGAAAATGATGGTTAGCTTCGGGGAATAAGTGAATTTCTACAGACGAGGATAAGGAGACAGTAGGAGGTATCTGGGATTTGTGAGAGTTGTGGAATGTCACAGATTTCTCTGAGTGGCACAGAATTTTTTTTTTTTTTTTTGAGTTCTAGGTCAGTTGATCCATGCTTCTGTCTTCCAACTTAACGTTAGTGTAAATTTTCCAGGGTGGCTAAGAAAGACGTATCATGACGTGTTGTAAGGTTGAGTCCTGAAGTGATTATGGAGCAGATTATAGAGTTTAACCTTGTGTCTCAGGTGTTTGGGGAAAAGCTCACGGCTTTGAAAACAGAGGGATAAGGTGTCTTCCCACAAGCAGATTAGACAACCCATAATAGCAAAGAAATCTGGGGAAACTAGAGAAGACTAATGGAAATATTTTGGAATATAAATTACTTTTACGTGGCTTACTCTGAAAACTCCACTATTAAATAGAAAACTTTAGAATACCATCAAATTGTTCATACAAATATCTCAAAGTCTCCTGATTCTTCTTCCTCCACAGATATGCTTAAAAATGCTTTGCAAAAGCACAAGGTACAATAAGCGAAGACCTGTGAAATGTGGAAAATGTTTCCCAACCAAAGATTCTGAGTGCAGCTACAGCGTTAGCTGCAATCTACCAACTGGAATGAAGGGACACGTCCTGCTCCGCACACAAACCCATCACCCCAACAGCAGTCCTACAAGAATAATCCCCAACAGTTCCACCGCTTCCTAGAGAATAGATTTCTTTGTGCCATAAGAAATGTGACAAGATTTTCAACTATTTCATATAGTTCTAAATAGACACCCATTTATTTTTTATTAATAAATTTGTAATAGTACAGGAATAACTTCAATAGCAGAGATAGTCACTCACCATAATTATTGGAATTCTCCCCACTACCTCAAATATATCTCCTGTATTGGCCTAAAGTTTAATTAAAATGAGATGGCTGGAATAATTAATGTCATCGTAAACATAAGACAAACTAATAAAACTGCAATTGTTTTCTTCTGTCTTTTCAGTTATGCTAAAATATTTCATCTCCATTTTCAGTCCTGAGTTGCTTTAAACAATTTCTATGACATTAATTCTTGATATTTGTCTCAAAGAGGAATGAAACTTGACGTCCTCCTGCAAGCTTCCACCCCTGTGAAGCAGTGGCCCGACACGGCGTGAATCCTGGATACCGTTCAAGGCAGCAAAGAAAGCCATTTCAACTCCAACACTATTTAAAACTCTTTATAATGAATGAGGTTTTATTTTCATGAATTTAGCTGGCTTGCTTAATTCTCTGACTGTACAAGGACATGCACATTATGCAGAAATACACAATCTGCTTTATATTAAATAAGTAGAGAAGCATGTAAGCTTTAATGTATGTATTAAAGTTCAAAAAATGTGTTGAAATATTTATAAATAGTATGGTAAAGGATACAGAGTTCCAACTGGGCTCTTTTAAGATAAACTTATTAAATCAAATGCATTTTGAAATATGATATGTACATGAACTTTCCACCTCCCTACTTCTCCAAGGAAGAACTAATGGCTGTTAGAGACCAGAAAGCCACGAGAATACAATGCCACTCTCCAGATGGTGTTCTCGGAGAGTCCTCGTTGCTTCTCTTCACCTCTCTTGGAGCACGTTAAACAGTAAGATGCAGTACACAAGAGCTATCAAAAGGGAGCACTTTTGAGCCACCAAAATTGTCTGTTCGCCTAAAAGCCGCATTCTCCCCAACTCCAGACAATGATACTATCTCAGGTATATTATGTGCTAAAATGATCATTAAAAATTAAGCACCACATATAAGCTGCCATTTAGAATATTAATTTACCTTTGCTAATCATCTTTTTAACTTGAGGCTAAAAGAGTTCACTTACCATTCGGGTACTCAGGCTGGGTCCAGGAGATGTTAAAGGAGTCCGGTGAGTAGGAGTGAGCTTGGGGGATGGCCACTCCTTCAGGGATGTCCTCCTCAGTCAGAGCCTGGCTGGCCTCACTCTCCGCACATCCGCCCCCGGTGCAAACCTAGACAGGGAGCTGAAATGAACATCTCCTTCTGGCTCCAGGAAGTTTACATGGACACGGAAGAAAGAGAATTTCTAAGGAAAGTTCTAGATCTTTTAAAATGATGTTGTCTTTACCCCTCAGAAAAACCTGGCTTGAGGCTGAAGCTTGCTGTGGAATGGGATGGCCACCAGGACATGGGACAGGCATCTCCAGTAAGTATCAATAACCAGGCAGGTGTAAACAAAAGATCAAGCTGAGTAAGAGACTGGCCACGCAGGCCAGGAGCTGCCTGGGGATATAGCCCTGTGGAAAGCAGCCTCATGCAGAGGTTGCCAAATGAATCAAACACATGTAGGTGGGTGTTCACACACACACACACACACACACACACACACACACACACACACACATTCACGGGCTAGCGTATGCATACCACATAAGAAAAGTACTGCAGCCTGAAACTTCAGACTTGAACAACCATATCTCTCTAGAAAAAGAGGTACAGCAAATATAACTGTTTCCTATTTATGATTTAGGGGCCAATACATTTATATTACATTATCATGTCAGATCAAATAAAGCAATATTTCTCAGTCAATCAATATGCAACATTGTTGAGTGAATGTTTAAAGGCTTAGAAGGTCAAACAATTTACTTATGAGTCAGAGGAGAACAGCTTCATTAAAACAGGGCTGACAAATTTAACGGAATCCCAACAGCCCCATTCCCTAATAAACTACCACTAATGGCCAAAATGGTGACAGGAATGCTAATGACATTTAAAACTTCTGTGTACACTTTCACAATAAACTGAAAATAATTATTAAATTTACTGGATGAGCATTTCTTTAGGATGCTGAGATGTATGAACAGGGTTTTTATTAGCCCATCCTTGCTAACAAATATTAGCAATTATATTTCTATGTAATGACGATGTTCAAGAACTATACTTAAAATGTGTTTTATATTTCTTCAGTTTACAACCGCAACTTACACAATGAAGTTTAAAAATCTTTCAGAAAACACTAAATTTTACCACAATTAATAAGGAAATGAAGCAAAATCATGGGATGATATAAAAAGTAGACAGTTACTTAGTCCACTTACATGGAAGATAGATACTACCAGCATAAAAAATTTAAGCACCATGCTCCTTAGTTTGGCCTGCTCACTGCTTTTCAGCTTGATATTGGGGCAATTGGTATTCTGATACTTAAAGCAGTCAAAATTATTTTCCTTAAACATAGAAGACCAGCTGTTGTTTTGCATATTTTCTCATATGACAGTTTACTTTTTTTTTTTATTTTAGGGAAGGGTCTACAGGGTGTCCAGGGTCTCTACTAGATTGGACTTGTAGTGATTCACCTGTTTACAGCCTCCCAAGAGCTGGGATTAGAGGCGCACGCCACCACTCTCAGTCTTAATTGGCATCTCAGTGCACCCCAGAGGCAGGGCCAGCATGGAAGGCCCAGGGATAGAACGCCTGGCCCCTGTGCCTGCTTGCAGGTGCTTAATCCACTGAGCTATTTGGCCAGCCCTTATATGACAATTTAATACTCTTTGCCTGGTTGTAGCTAGTTGCAAACCTTTGTAAGTATTAAAAACAATTTATTGTCAACATACACGGAGACATATTCACTTTCTGTGTTGAGAAAGAGCAGTGATTTACATCTCCAGAATAATTTCTCATCAGTGAAGTGAGTTTCAGGCCACTGAAATTTTGACTTGGGCATGGAATTGCATTATGATTGGGGTCTTGATTAACTTTAGGGTTTTCTCTGATCCTCAGCTGTGGTGTATGCACTTAGGTGTAAGGGGAAAACCATATTTTCAGCTGAGAATTGAAAATGCAAATAGAGAAACATCTATTGACCATGTGTCCAAACCTCGACTCGGAGTTTTGGGACATGCCACTTGTCAGCACAAGAAATCACTGCCCAAAATGTTAAATGCTAAAGGTTTACCAAAGACATGGCGGAAAAGCAGGCACAGGAGATAACTAGGTCACTGAAGGGAAAACGTTGCATCCTCTTGTTTGCAAACTGATAACACGATGTGATTCAATTCTAACAACCTGCTTGCCACTATTTTAATTTTTCATGTCTTAACCACCTTCCTTGCAAACTTTCCCCAGAGAAATAGTGTACCATATGACACATATGACATTCTACATTGCTTAAACAGAATGAGAATTCAAATTTACTTTGTTTTGAGAATCACATTATATTTTCGAAGATGAATGAAAACATCTTTAGGAAGACTGCTGTTTGGGGGCCACATCACCTGAGGTCTGTAAAGCAGCAATTTGACAAAGAGAGACTCCTCAATAATCTAAGGAACATATGAAGATTTTTCTTGTAAATGAAATGGTGTATAGAGCTGCTGACATAGTAGAATTACCCATGAACTTCCTTTTCCTGGTGCATTGTTTTGTCCACACTCTTTTCACATGTGCTTAGAGGGCTGGTTCTTAAGGTCGCTTCCAACTGACTAGTCTAACTGCTTCGTCTCCATGAGCTGGACCCAGGTGGTGTCTGCTGCTTGCCTGTATAGCAGAGCACTGTATTCGGAGCAGTGGACCGCTGATTGGAAAAGCTAAACAACACAGCGGCATTGATTAAGGTCTGGAAACCTGTGAACCATTAAAAGAAATTGTTCTAACCCATTTCCTATAGCTTTGGGTTTGTTACAGACATTTAAAACAAAATTCAGAGTCATAATGCCACTTTTAATGGATGAGTAACACTTGGCAAAAAGGAGGCTCAGTTTTTGGACAATGAAATGGAGAAAGAATAAAATTATATCAGTTACTTTTGAAATTATGGATATTAGGAAGATCCAGAACTAGGATTATTTTATCCTGTAGTTTATTTTCAGCTAAGTTGGGCCTGAGAGTGTTAGGAATAAAGCATGTTTTCAAGAATGAAGAAAAATACTAAAAGTGCTCTATCCATATCAATCTCTTCTTGAAAGTCAAACTCAATATTCCGCAAAATCTTAGCTCATTCTCATCACATGACAAGTGGTTAGCCATGATGTGAATGCTACAGTGCAGCATATATTTTGAGATCTGTTGCATTCATAGTTTCTTTATTTAATTTCTAACTCATTACCTTTATTAGGCGCTATCACACTTTGTCACATCTCAAAATACTTTTGGTTGAGTGAGGCAAGTAATTATAGTATTTCTTGCAATGCTAAGAGCATTCACTTTGGAACTGCACAATCCCTAACCTTAAATTTTCCAGAAAATTATTCAACTACATCAAAAGTCCCAGATTGTTTATGAAATGATTAGTATTTAGTGGTCATTCATTGATGCAAGAATTGTTTACTAAACTTCTGGTTTCCATGGGGCACTGTGCTTCAACCTGCACGTGGGATTTTGCTAATGCAGTTCCCGTGTTTCAGGAGACTACAAACCAGAGTCAGATGCAAAAAATAAATGCAGCTGCAAGAGGTAAGCTTCCTGTGCCAAGCTGGGAGGAAGTAAACCACATTGGCGCAAATCTCCGTGTGTCTTTCTCTACCCCAAAGGCTGCCTAAAATCTTTGGTATTTGTGTGTTATGTTTTGTAGTATTTAGTCAACATGCTAAGGCTATCTACAAAGGAAACCCTATTTTTCTGAGAACCTGATTTTCCTCTGCTAATCTAATGACCTTGAAAGCTAGTTATTATATTGAAACTGTGAAATATACAATAATCCCTCAATTAACCAGGATGAACCTAAAATGTTCTGCTTCATTTAATTTACTGCTTAACAGGGTTAAGTAAAAAAAAAAAAAAAAGAAAAGAAAAAAACCTTTTAGTTGAATACTTCCTGAAAATACATGTCGATATGACAGTACTTTCTGCCCTAATAAATACAGTGAAATTGAAAATAATATGAACATATTTGTTAGGGCAAACTCCACTTTATGACATCCTGCATCAATGTTATTCAGCAGCTGACAGATATTGTTTGTCAATAACCCGTAGGGCATTCTGCCTTCTAAGACATGCTACCTTCTTAGCATGACAGAACTCTAGGCCCTAAAAAGACATCCCAGTTCATTTAGTTCAATGTCCTAACATTAGGCTTGAAGAGAGAAAACCTGAGTGTGGTGAGCTGAATTTGCCTGAGGTTACACAGTGGCAAACCCTGAAATAAAACTCAGGGGAACAGATTCCTAAGTTAGTGGGGTTTACTTTTGAAGCTGTTAGGGAGAATTATAGGCTACTGACATGGACTTTGATTGACTGCAAAATGGCCTTGCGACAGAGCTTCGTTTCCATGTCATTTGCTTCCATCTAGGAAAATCCAGGAAGCCAATGAGTTTATGATGTTTACTTCGGGTTACTTAAGAATAATCGAAACTTTTCTTGACTTTGATGCTGCCACTACTTTGAAAGCCGCGTGTTCTTCATGTGTCAGCTTTGGGAAATACAGCGGGTGTGCATGTTACTGCTTGAGTCCCACAGCCGTGAGGAGCCCACTGCTCCGCTGCAAGCCGAGCTGCGCTGCGGAAGCCCAGGGCGCACGGTGTCAGTCTTGAACACGGTTTTAACATTGCCTGATTGCCCTTTTTTGTGGCATCAAGTTAGACAGCAATAGTTGAATGCCGTTTATTTTCTCGTGGTATAATATTTAGAGCATTCAAGAGCATGTTAAGTAAAATGAATGCGTACGCAGTGTCTACATAAATGTAAATTTATTCATAATCAAGAGCAGAATATTTTCTATGGCATTTATCAAAGCAAATATCCTTATATAGGTATTGCTATAAAATGAAGGGTGTGTTTAAAACAAATAGGGACAATCTCATGTTTATATTCAGTTATTTTCAGATGTGCTATTAAACTTAAAAAAGATTATATTTCATCAAAAAACAAAAGGAACTAGAGAGTGTAAATTCCAAAGTAATATCAAGGTCTTTTAAAGGACCTTTGTTAAAAAAAAATGCAGTGCCATCTTTGCATTTTAAAAAGCTATGATTTACCTGAAGAAACCTCTAAACTACATTGAGTCTGAGCTCTTGTTAAATGACTTTTCTTCTGAGATAAGTATAATGTAAACCACAATAAAATATCTGGGTGTTATTTAAATCTCCTTTTAAAAGTATAAAATCTAAGGTTTAATATCACACATAGTTTTCAGAATGAACACATACTCCAGGGGGAAATAAATTCACTAACGTAAGCATTTTTCTGAGAGCTTTACGTGTTCTTGATGCACTTCAGATAAAAGCAATGATAATTTCTATTAGATTTGGGGAAATCTACTGATCAGATGGTATTCTCACACTGCACATGGTACTGAAAAACACAGATATTAGATCAACAGAATTCTCATTTAGGACGTGCAATGGCTTTTCTATATCAATATCAGTATGTGAAGTTTTTGGAATTCTGCCTTTTATTTAAGTGAGGCAGAGCAAAGAAGGAGGTAGAAGGGCCAGCCAATAGGTCAGCAGATAAAGAGCCTGCAAGCAGGTGCAGGGGTTGGGGGTTCAATCCCCAGGCCTGCCATGCCAGCCCCGCCCCTGGATGCGCTGAGATGGGGACTGAGACTGGGCGTGGTGGGCACGCCTCTTACCCCAGCTCTTGGGAGGCTGTAAACAGGCAGATCACTATGAGTCTAGTCTAGTAGGGAGACCCTGAACACCCTGGAGGCCCTTCCCTAAAATACAAAAAGAAAAAAGAAGGAGGTAGAAAGAGTGACAGCACTGAAGGGAACTCACTCCCAGCTTGATGAGGTAGCCGTTACCAGGGATAAGGTCCTGCAGCCTGTGATGCTGGGGAAGCTCGCTGCTGTTATAGACGACAGCCCAAACTGGAGCCTCGTGTGTGTGATCCGAAACATATAATACGTAGCGTTCCAGAATCCCGTGGAGTTTCCTGGGTTGTTCCCACCTGGAAATGGAAAATGTAACATTGCTGTCACCACCATCCATCCAGGTCAACACTGAAACGTGCAGAACCTTGCAGGGACACGTTGGAGCATGATTTTGTGCCACTGGAAACACACACACACACACACACACACACACACACACAGCTCAAAAGTAATTCATCCCCCTCTGATACCCAAGTGCTTATTAAATGCTTATTCTGGGTGACATAAAGAAAAGAGGACATCATCCCTCCCCTTCAGTTCCCTATAATTTCCAGTCACTGATAATATGAAAATGTATGACTATTGATTGTGAATTTAAACTGTTGAACAAAATTTGGGAAAAAGCGTATCTGAGAACTTAGAAGATAGAGCGGAAAGGATCACACAGTTTTCCTTTAAAAAGCAGCATTGCAGCGCTGAGTTAATGTAGAAGTACGGAGGGCAGAGCCGGTGGGAGCGTTGGAGCAGTCAGGCAGGCTCCGCGGATGAGGTGCCACACTGCCTCGTCACCTAGGACTTCTTCCTAAAAGGCGGTTTGACTTTGGAAACCAAAGAGGCAAAGTGTCCCAGGGGCGGCTGGTCACATTGGAAAGTGAGAGAAGTGGGAGGCGGGGGGACAAGTGGCAGAATAGACGGGAAAGAGTTCAGGTGACCAACAGAGTAGAGGGAGATCTTTTGGGGCAAGTAAGGTGACTGAGCTCAAAGATACATGAAAACTCATACAAGAGTTTACATGAAAAAATGGGCTAGGAATCGGATGATTTTTGGTTTGAATGAATGTCATAGTTCAGTCACTCTAAACTTTGACAGATGAGAAAACTGAGATCAAGAGAGATAAATGTGCACGAGCATCACATTAGTGCTTAGTAGAATGGTCTATTAAATTGTAGTGCAGGACTACAATCTATCTTCTATCTCATTTATTAGGAGATGGACAAGAGCTCCAAATGTCAAATGTGATCTCAATATGCTTATATACCAAAGCTCCTTTGTGATCTTAATTTCAAGGGAATAAGAATGTAAGAACATTCTTGTTCATGCTAAAACATAGAGCACAATATGCATATGTGCACATACACACATGAAGTTAGATGCACACGTAAGTGGTCAGTTTTTCCTTTATGGAAGTTTGCACAAAATCTGTGCTCATACAGGGCTCAGCTTGATTGTGTAAGGACAAGATGGAAATTAAGTTGGCAAGAGGTAATCAAAGGTTCCCAGAACCACTGATCTAATCATGTCTATGCATTTAATCACAATAAAATTAATTTTATGTCACCAGCCCTTCTCCTGATTGAACTCACTGGAATTCGTGCATGAAGCTGTGTGCGGCAGAGCCCACGTTTCTACTCACTGTACGTATGCAGTTCTAGAATCCAGGACTGTCACAGTGGGGGGCTCCACATGTTCAGGGGGCAGCTGTGCCGTGTGCAGTGTGACCCAGGAGCTGTTTGTGCACCCCACAAGGGTGCAGGCACTGAGACGGAAGCGGTGGGAAGTAAAGACTCCTAAGCCTAGGCAAGAGGAGAAAGGGGAATGTGTCAGTTTCAGGCCTTTTGTTCACAAGCTCTCACTCTTCCTCTATGCTCCTACCTCTGCACACCGTGAAAATGAGGCTTCCAATAAGAATCAGTAGCCATAAAAATTAATAGCAATAAAATGAACTAGAACAAAGTATGTTTAGGGATGTTTCATCCCTTAAACATGCTATGGTCATATCCAAATAGACAAGTGTCAATCAAACTCTTGTTTGACTTTTTCAAATTGACTCTTTTCTTGAATATCTATGACCAGGTAAATCATTTTCTGAGTCATATCTTAGTTCAATGCCTCTGTTAAACATAAATGAGATATTTAAATTATTTTAAAGCATATTTGAAGATAACAGGAGTCGCTTTTGAAATGCAAATACATAGCCTGTAACAAGGACTTTGTGTTCATAATTCTGTTTGCCAGATTCCTTTCTTCTTCTCTCTACCTGACCCACTATTATTTGACCTTCACATGATCCAGGTTCTGTGCAAATACCTTTCACTTTCTAAGCTGTTTTTCACACTCCTGGCTTACACTCTGGTGCAAGGTGGAGCTAGTAGGCTGTGCTCTGAGTCCCGCAGCACGTTGCACATGACCTTAGCACGGCATTCACAACATGGTGTCATCATTATTTATTAACATGACTGTCTGATCCAGTGGAATGAACACCTTAAGAGAAAGAATGATGCCAAAGTCCTTTGGCAACTTCGGTGTTTGAGACAATGCCTTGCACATTGTACGTTCCAAAAACACATTTCGATGAATGAATGAAAAATTTATGAATGAAATGCTCTAGATATAGTTGAGCTAAGCATGAAAAACGTCCACTAAAAGTGGAATAGCACCCTGACCTGAAATACCCTCTTCTTTCCCCAAACATTTCCAGTACATTATACTTGTCAACCTGTGCAATTGATACCATATCTCTTGCATTAGAATAAATTAGTCGTAATTTCCTAATTGTTTTCTGAAATACTCTAAATCCTTCACTTATAAAGGTGTTAAGTAATGTAACCAAAGTTCCATCAAATTTTTCAAGGTTTAAATATCATTCATACTTTTTCTGCTACTAAAAATAATCAGTATTTTCTGGGTTTTTTTGAACTATGTTAGTCACAATTTAAGTAAAATATATTCTTAAATCTCATTAACCTTGAACCATTACATTTTCATGTTTAAAAGATTAATGAAATGCAACCTAATTCAGTCAAATAGATTTTGCACTGCACTGATAGCAGAAGTAAACTAGGAAAAGAATGCTTTGATTTTCATGCAAAGTACAATCAACTGGCCAAACATGTAGGTCATCAGAGGAAAGAAAAAGGGTAAGTTTACAGTAAATAGGGTTACTATAGGACAGAAAGTAGCCACAGATGAAACTTGAGTTCCTATCCATTAAATCATGTTATATCAACCTTGTAGATTCCCACATGTGGAGATAGAATCGGGAGCCCCCCAGTCACTATGGCAAGAAGGGCCCCTGTAAGGACAATTTGAAGTAGGTAGCCAGGCTCTGTGGCATGGCCAGTGACTACAGAGAGATGACAGGAGCACCTGTACCTTGTCTACCTCAGGAAGCCCTGCTCAGGCTGCCTGAATTCGGACCAGTATTTCATGAAACTCAGGAAGAAAATCATGAGCAGTGGACTTAGATGAAACAAAACGGTAAACTCAGATTCACTGAGCAGGGAATCTCACAGGGTGAAGCTCGGCCGGATACTACAGTACACTGTGGAAAAGCAGGAGGGAGAAGTCAGAGCTGACCTGAGGCTTTGGCGTGAGTAAAGGAAGGATGAAATATCCCACTGCTTGGCTGAAGAAGGGCATGGAAAAGGAAACAGAGTTCATATTTTTGTCATGGTGAGGTTGAGAAGTTTGTTAGCTTTGGAGAAACTGTCAAGCAGGCAATTGGAATGCCGGTGTAGGACACAGGAAGAGCTATGATTTGAGGAATATTTTGGCAAGGTGCCCTCCTAAAGGTAGTGCTCAAGGCAGAAGAGAATACAAGTGAGCGAGTGTAGTCGGAGGGACGCATGAGAAACAGAAGGCTGCCATGCCACCACCAAGACGCCAGTGTGAACAGCAAGCATGAGCCGAGGCAGCGAAGCGAGACTGATCTAGTAAGGCGTGAGGAAAACGAGACTGCAGGGCTCCAAAAGTCAAGAACAGCAGATTCTGTAAGTGTTGGGGTCAAAGAAGACAGGGACTAGCAAGTGAGCAGTGCGTTTAGTAGTTCGGCAGTGAGTAGAAACTGTACAGTGGAGGGTCCAGGATACCACGGGCCCTACAGCCTGGTTTCAACCAGTAGATGAAAGGAGGGAAGAGAGTCAAGGTGAACATTTTCTTCTGGAAATCTTGTTATATGGGAAAGCAGAGAAATGGACTAATAGATACAACCTAAGAAGAGCTAGACAAGGATGCTTGAAAAAAAAATTTACATGGGAGAAAAGTGCATTGTGTGCTGATAGAAAATAATTATCCAAGAAGAAAAAGTTGGTAATAAATGAAAAAAGAGGACTGCTACAGATTTGTTCTTAAATACATGGAAGAACCGAGTCTATTACAAAAGGGAAGAGCTAGGCCCAGAAGGGGCAGAGGTAGACAGTCTATGCTGCTAGGCGGGGACACAGGTGTGGCCCCGATGCTGGCAAGTGGAGAGATGGTGGCAGAAATCCACAGCATCACTGACCAGTCCTGTGTTCTCAGGGAAGAAGCAGGATTTCACCTAGGAGGGTCTTTTAATTCTCAGGGGCAACACTGTGCCGCGGGCCCTCGCTGGGCCATGCTGTGCTATCTGTGTTAGTGCCCGCTTCTCGCTCCCTTGGCACCCTGGACACATTTTGTCCACTCGCACTCCAAGGGCCCACATTCAGGCCCTTGATGCTCTATTCCTTCTCACTAAAATCCACTTCCCCCCTCACACTTGGCTGACGCTTTCTCATTTTCAGTCTTCCTTGATGGCTGAACAAGCTTGCCACCATTGAGCCAGGCACTAGGACTCTGTCCCATGCGTCTTGTTTAGTTCCCTACTGCCACTACCAAACCCACCTGAAAATGCTTTGTCATTTATTTCTGTCTTTATATACCTCTCAAAAGAATGACAACTTTTTGAGTGCAAAGAGATATTTTCTATCATCTTCACTGCACTACCTAAAAGGCCCCAGGAGATGACAGTTAGAACAATTTTATTCACTAAGATGATGAATGGGCAAGACCAGAGGCCGCTCTCAGTGGCCCTTACTCAACTGCCCTGTTTTTCTCAGAAACACAATAATGTCTTACAATGCCTGCAAAACTCCAATACTCTAATGAACACAATTGTCAGGCCAACGGAAAAAGAAGATTCACCATGAAAAACTAAGGCAAAGTTGTACCTATCTGGACACCAAGAAAGGACTGTCAAGCACTAATATTTCATAGAAGCACAGAAGACAGACTGAAACAGTGCCGTTGTCTGACCATTAGGGTATAGAGATGATTTAGGTTTTTACAAGTTATGTCAATTTTTCAAGTAGCCTGTGCTACGCACATACAGCATAGCTGGAAAAAACAATTTCGCAATTCCCACTCAGAACTTCGAAGAGCACACGTCCCAGGCCTGGTGCAGGCACGTCCTCCTGCACCTCTACGGCCTTGCTCATCCTTTCCTCAGCAGCCTCAGTCTTGGCTATGCTTTCTTTTCACTCACAATCCAATTTTGGCGATCCGCATCCTCTGCAATGACTCATCTCCGAGGCTGGCGTCACTGCGACTCCCTCAAAGGCGATGCCCTTCACCTCAACTCCATGATTGCAAAATTCACCGTAGTTGCCACCACTACTGCGTCATCTTTGGAACTGTTTCCAAAACTAAATCTAGGGCCTACTTTCTCATCCTCTGGCTGGTGACCGCCCATACTCTGCAGCTCCTTAGGCTTCCCATCCTCCTTCCCCTCGGCCCTCTCCTCGGTGAGCTGTTCTCATTCATAGCTCTGGATAATTCTCCCCATCGTCTGTGTGTAAGTAATACTTCTCCCAGTGCCGGGATGAGTCTGAGAGACACTGCCGGGCATACTGGACAGGCTACTATAATAGGAGGTTTTGCAACTTGAACAGGGCCCAGAGGACTTCGCAGCAAGAACTATCTTGTTCCCTGTTTTATATCATTATTTTATTGGTATTTCCCCCCACACTGTTGTGACTGGAGGAACTTATGTTATCTTACGGATCCTAATGTGGCTGACACTGGAGGTGCAGATCCCTTCTCTGAACTCCTCTAACGCTTGCCATCTGTGCTACAGTGACTGAGATCAATATAGTGACCAGATTCAACTATTGCTTTTTCTTTTGCATTCCCTATATCACACCCCATCTTTCTCTGCATGTAATTCTGATCATCATTTCCCTCAGCTAAATTATAAATTCAGAATTTAGCTATAAGTAGACACTGTCTACAAAACAGCATGTGATTGGTCAGGAAGCCAGGAGAGCAAGGGACCAGAGAGAGGACTCAAGGTTTGGATATAAGGTTTGGGTGTAACTCTCTTTTCCCACTACAGGTTTCCCTGTAGATAGCAATAAAGAAAGAGAAATGTGCAGGCTGTCAGGAGAGGTCCTGAACTGTTTCCAACAAGGACTTCCAGATGAGATCCACAGGGCAAGGCTTGGTGTTTGTAGGGAGAGAGGGCCACGAAGGCTTGGCACGGTTGCCACGCATGCTGAGCATGTCTGATGGATTCACAGGTCTGATTTTACATCCGACCCTTTGCAGAGAAGGGGCAACGCCAGGGATGGCTAAGCTCCAGGTGCTGAGGAACAGTAGAACTGAGTGCTTTCACACCTGGAGGAGAGGAGACTGGACCCCTGTCTCAGTTTCTCTTCTCTCATTGCTGGGACAAATACAAGACACCCAAGATGGAGGAAGGAAAGGTTTATTTAGCTCATAGTTGCTGAATGTTTTAGTCCATACTCAGCTGGCTGCAAGGCACATGGCAGACAGCAAA